CAAATGTATTAACTTATTTAGTATTCTACAAAACTATTAACTTATTTAGTATTCTACAAAACTATTAACTTATTTAGTATTCTACAAAACTATTAACTTGTTTAGTTTTCTACAAAACTATTACCTTTTATACTATTCTACAAATGTATTAACTTATTTAGTATTCTACAAAACTATTAACTTATTTAGTATTCTACAAAACTATTAACTTGTTTAGTTTTCTACAAAACTATTACCTTTTATACTATTCTACAACTTATTAACTTATTTAGTATTCTACAAAACTATTAACTTATTTAGTATTCTACAAATTATTAATTTATTTACTATTCTACAAAAGTATTACCTTATTTAGTATTCTACAAAGTTTTTGTTGTAGAGAATAATAATAAGAAGAATATGAAGAATTACAAATGGGCCATTTTTAGCGGATTTTTCCTTGAAAGTCTAAAATGACTGCTTGTTTGTGCATTTTTATGTGTACAGCCTTATTAGTCAATAGTAAAGGTTTTAAAGTCTTGTTTGAACTGAATCTTTACTGTTTATGATACTTTTTGCCCTAAAGTTCTATTGGTTTTTTATAGAATTTCTTACGATCCCTATTATGAATCACTAGCTTAGTTCATGATAAACTCACACATATGTATAGATATCGCTCTGTTAATCTATCTGTATAAACCTACGTACATATGTATAGATATCTTCCTGGTGATATAGTTTTGTATATATCCCGTTTTTAATGGTTGCTATATTATAACATTAACACGTGTTTAATGTCTGCTATATTATAACATTAATACATGTTTAATGTCTGATATATCATAACATTAACACGTGTTTAATGTCTGCTATATTATAACATTAATACATGTTTAATGTCTGCTATATTATAACATTAATACATGTTTAATGTCTGCTGTATTATAACATTATTACATGTTTAATGTCTGCTGTATTATAACATTAATACGTGTTTAATGGTTTCTATATTATAACATTAATACGTGCTAATATCTGCTACATTATAACATTAATACGTATTTAATGGTTGCTATATTATAATCTTAACAAGTGTTTAATGGTTACTGTATTATAAAATTAACACGTCTTTAATGTCTGCTATATTATAACATTAATACATGTTTAATGTCTGATATATCATAACATTAATACGTGTTTAATGGTTGCTATATTATCACATTAATACATGTTTAATGGTTACTATATAATAACATTAATACGTGGGATATGCTACATACACACACATATATATATACATGTAGAAAGTTACAATAGTTTTATATCATAAACTACATTAGTGGTTCATCATTGGGATCGCAAGGAATTGAAAAAAATTCTAATAGAATGTTCGGGCAAAGAGTACCTCAAACAGTAAAGATTCGGTAAAACAGCACTTGAAAACCTTTACTATTGACTGATAAGGCTGTACACATATAAAAATGCACAAAAAAGCACGCATTTTAGACTTACAAGGAAAATAAAATCCGCTCAAAACGGCCCGTTTGTAATTCTTCATATTCTTATTATTATAATACAACACCCATTAAATACGTGTTAATGTTATAATGTAGCAGACACTAAATACGTGATAAGATTATAATATATCAACCATTAAACACGTATTAATGTTGTATTATAGCAGATATTAAACACGTATTAATGTCAGAATATAGCAATAATTAAACATGTATTAATGTCATAATATAGCAACAATTAAACAGGTATTAATGTTATAGTACAGCAACCATTAAACATGTATTAATGTTATGATATAACATACATAAAACATGTATTAATGTTATAATATAGCAACCATTAAACACGTATTAATGTTATAATATAGCAACCATTAAACACGTTTTAATGTTATAATACAACATACATAAAACATGTAAATAATGTTATAATATAACAACCATTAAACACGTGTTAATGTTATAATACAGCTACCATTAAACACATATTAATGTTATAATATAGCAGACATTAAACACGTATTAATGTTATAATATAGAAACCATTAAACACGTGTTAAGATTATAATACAGCAACCATTAAGTACGTGTTAAGATCATAATACAGCAACCATTAAATACTATTGTGACACTATATATATATATGTATATATAACACATCTAAGTATTGTGACTTTCTACATGTATATATATATATGTAACATATACGGCTATTGTGACACTATATATATATGTATATATAACATATCTAAGTATTGTGACTTTCTACATGTATATATATATGTGTAACATATCCGACTATTGTGACATTATATATATATAACATATCTAAGTATTGTGACTTTCTACATGTATATATATGTGTGTAACATATCCGACTATTGTGACACTTCATATATGTATATATATGTAAGTATTGTGACTTTCTACATGTATATATATCGTGTTATTTTCCCTCTACGTATATTCTGTCTAAGGTCAAGTTTTATCAGAATATATCCTTGCAGTCTGATGTTAAATCAGAAACATTCACACACATACAAACATTGCTCATGTATGCTGCCCTCCAATAGTACAGCGTGTTGCCTGGGATATCTTCCAGTCACACAGGGTATGTCTTGGCTGTCTTCCAGTCACACAGTGGTATGTCTGGGCTGTCTTCCAGTCACACAGTGGTATGTCTGGACTGTCTTCCAGTCACACAGTGGTATGTTTGGGCTGTCTTACAGTCACACAGTGGTATGTCTTGGCTGTCTTCCAGTCATGCAGTAGTATATTTTAGCTGTCTTCGAGTCACACAGTGGTATGTTTGGGCTGTCTTACAGTCACACAGTGGTATGCGTGGGCTGTCTTCCAGTGATACAGTGGTATGTCTGGGCTGTCTTCCAGTCATGCAGTAGTATATTTTAGCTGTCTTTGAGTCACACAGTGGTATGCCTGGGCTGTCTTCCAGTCACACAGTGGTATGTTTGGGCTGTCTTACAGTCACACAGTGGTATGTCTTGGCTGTCTTCCAGTCATGCAGTAGTATATTTTAGCTGTCTTCAGTCACACAGTGTATGTGTCTTGGGCTGTCTTCCAGTCACACAGTGGTATGCTTTAGCTGTCTTCCAGTGACACAGCGTTTTACATTCTTTATAATATTACAACAGCATTCTTTATTTAAGAAACAGGGTTTATAAAATGTTTTACATTCTTTACAATATTACAACAGCATTCTTTATTTAAGAAACAGGGTTTATAAAATGTTTTTGTAAAACATTTTATAAATTCTGTTTCTTAAATAAAGAATGCTGTTGTAATATTATAAGGAATGTAAAACATTTTATAAACCCTGTTTATTAAGTAAAGAATGCTGTTGTAATATTATAAGGAGGGTAAAACATTTTATAAATTCTGTTTCTTAACAAATAATGCTGTTGTAATCTTATAAGGAGTGTAAAACATTTTATAAACCCTGTTGTAATATTATAAGGAATGTAAAACATTTTATAAATTCTGTTTCTTAAATAAAGAATGCTGTTGTAATATTATAAGGAATGTAAAACATTTTATAAACCCTGTTTCTTAAATAAAGAATGCTGTTGTAATATTGTAAAGATTGTCTCCTTATAAGATTACAACAGCATTATTTGTTAAGAAACAGAATTTATAAAATGTTTTACACTCCTTATAATATTACAACAGCATTCTTTACTTAATAAACAGGGTTTATAACAAGTTTATTTTTTTTACAAAGCTACATCCTAAATATCTTGTTTCTTCAGATACACACACGCACACTTATACCAAACCTCGAACAAATCCGTTGAATCTTTCTAAAATATATATATAGTCTATACTTTACTTGCCCAGCAAGTGTATGTATACTGTCCCTAATTTTGTATGAACATTCACAAAAGCAATGTTTCCAACATTTTATCGCTCGTTCCTTCTGGTAGGTTTATATCTCAATACGACTTTAAAGAGTTTGTGACATAAAACTGAATCTCAAGAGTTATGTAGCAGAGTCAATATATGTTTCAAGTTTTGTTTACAATTTGAAGAACAAAATGAACGTTTTGTTACCCTTGCTATTATTTATAAACATAATTCAGTTGTCATAAAATTATATTCACAGAGCAGAAGAGAAATATCTACTGTTCTTCACAATATGTGTGTAAAAAATAATAATTTGTTATCAGCACGCCGTTCAGCGATTGTTGTCAAATAGAAAAAAAAAAACTACTTTTTTCTTTGTTCTGCGCTATTTATAATATAGTTATTTTTTTGAAATCGAATAACTTATCTTCGCTATTTAAAAATAGATAAGGTCATTACCGTTTCGAAATCTTTGTTTACGTTCCTGTTAAAGAGCTGGCACTTTATAAAACACACTGCACAACCACAATTAACCGACATTTTGGCAAAGATATTTTAGCTAAAGAAGAAGAAGAAAAATATATTATTCGAGTTGTGCCATAGATTTTGACACCATGCCAAACTTCTGAGAAATTTTGTCTATAATAGAAACAGCTCTAACTAGAAATCGGTTCTCCTCCTGCATTTTCTTCGGATTCATCTGTCGTATCACGTTTTGTTGATCTAACAGAAAACAAAAAAAACGTGTGTTAGTTGTTAATATAGTTGTCTTTATCGAAATATCTTGTTGTGCAGGAATCATGAGAGGTAACAATTCATAGTTATAGTAATTGAAGTAACACAATAAACGATAAGAGCGTGTTACCACACGTGGCTACAACTAGCTAATTTTAACAATACACATGAATAGTAATACACAATAACTGAACAAAGAAGGAAAACGTTTCAATGAGTTACTTTAAACATTCTCAAAGAGAAATGAGAGCTAACCTTACACACGAAAAAAACTTCTGACCCACTCCGAACTTCTCTGACTCTTCAAGTGTTTGGGGTAAATTTTCATGAAGTGTTTCAGGCACTAAGGGCGCTAGTAGACCAGCGGTGACGCACATTCCTCCAATAATGAGGAAAGGTATAAATTTGTTGTAGGTACCCTGTTTAATGAAATGTATTTGAATTAGATAGATGTAGAAATGAGAAAACAGTCGACATTTAACAAAGAATAACTATCAAACCTGAATGTGTTTTGGGATTATGTTTTAATACCTACTATCAAATATTTCTGATAAATCGTATCTTAAATAACAGCTGGGTTGGACTACTTATAATAACATGGACTAGGTGTCTGTTGACGTTCTTCTCTCCTACATTAAGTTCACACGTCAATCAAATATGACGTCAGATTATATCGATAGGTGCTCAATCTTACAGATCGACGTGGAATGTGGTGATCTAAAAACATAACTTTTTAATGTGGTGGTCAAGAAACAACTTTTTAATGTGGTGGTCAAGAAACACAACTTTTTAATATGGTGGTCAAGAAACACAACTTTCTAATGTAGTGGTAAGGGAAACACAACTTTTTAATGTGGTGGTCAAGAAACACAACTTTCTAATATGGTGGTCAAGAAACACAACTTTCTAATGTAGTGGTAAGGGAAACACAACTTTTTAATGTGGTGGTCAAGAAACACAACTTTCTAATGTAGTGGTCAAAAAACAGAACTTTCTTCCCGTCTTTGAGCCAATTTCAAACAACATAAGCATTAAGGATTGTTGAATTATGGTCTGGAGCGTTACGGTACATCCTCGTTACTATACATTGAGCATTAGGATACGTCCTCGTTACTGTACACTGAGCTTTACGGTACATCCTCGTTACTATACATTGAGCATTAGGATACATCCTCGTTACTATACACTGAGCGTTACGGTACATCCTCGTTACTATACATTGAGCATTAGGATACGTCCTCGTTACTGTACACTGAGTTTTACGGTACATCCTCGTGGCTCTAAACTGAGCGTTAAGATACATCCTCGCTACTACACACTGAGCGTTACGACACATCCTCGCTACTACACACTGAGCGTTACAACACATCCTCGTGGCTCTACACTGAGCGTTACAATACATCCTCGCTACTACACACTGAGCGTTACGTTACATCCTCGCTACTACAAACTGAGCGTTACGATACATCCTCGCTACTACACACTGAGCGTTACGACACATCCTCGCTACTACACACTGAGCGTTAC